GAGGGGCACACCCAAGCCGGATACGCCACTGTAACTGATGTACTTTACAATTACGATATTACTGTTCTGATTGAGGGCTGTCACATTGTAAACTCATTTCTCACATGGTTTCTTGTAATTACTTTCTGATTTTGCTATAGATAACATTTTCTGACCCTGGCCTTTTAGTATACCGTGTGAGTAAAAAAAAAAGTTAAAACTCAGAAAATTGTCATTTCTTTTAAAAGTCAGTTATGAACGAAAGGTTATCATACATGTTATGAAAGAGTGTTATATGCTGAATCGTTTGGTATCATTTTTGTGTGGTATTTGTTCACTTGTTCGCTTGGATGAACAGGAGGCATTGTTTGCGAGAGTGCAAATATAGACTTGCGCCAAAGTATCAAAGTGAGAGAATATATTGAATGTATTAAATGAAATGCATTGCGTTTGCTTTTTGCAGAGACAAAATCACACACACACACACACACACGCGCGCGCGCACAAATGTCCTTTGATATTTGATATTTGATATGTGTTGCATGATTAATTCTGTTAGGGAATTTATTTGAATCTGCAAAGACCTAATTAATAACCAAATCCCAATTGTTTTATTCAAACATCACATGTATTATTTTGGCGCAAGTCGATTTTTGCACTCTCTTAAACAATGTCTTCTGTTCATCCAAGCGTGAACGTATACCACATTAATGTTACCAAATGATTTGAGATAAAACACTCTTTTATAAGATATATAATAACTTACTGTTCACTGATGATTAAAAAAAAAAAAAAAATTCTAGGTGTAAATTTTTTTTGACTCACACTGTAGATACTTAATGTGTGTCACACTCTATAATCTAGTTGGGCATCTCTCATCCAATACAGGAGAGTAGTAAATTGAAGAAAATGGCGACATTAGTGTTTGTAAAGAGGAAGGAAAGACGAATGACAACATAACAAACTTTCTTAGAAAATATAACAACGCAAGAGGGAAAAGACATATATGCTGCAGATTCATGTGTCGTGATCAAGCTTAGTTTAGCAGCACGCACTGCACATCCGCTTTTGAATCGTTTTGTTTGATGAAAAGTGTTCCCATACATCAATCATGGGGTGTAAATTGGATTGCATTCAAGTTGGGGACCGAATCGTCCACGACCCCCTCCCTTTAGTGGCCTAAAAGAAAAGAAAATAGGGAAATAAAGAGCAACGGAAGAGATAGGAGGAAAGAAAGAGAAAAAAAGTCCAAAAAAAGAAAGAAAAAGGGACAGAAAACCTATTGGGTGGGATGGAAGCCCCACCGAAACCTTTTTTCTATAAAATTGCCCTTAAGGAAAGAGAGAGAGAGAGAGAGAGACAGAGAGAGTCGGGTGGAGAGAGACAAAGGGAGAGAGAGAGAGAGAGAGGAGCGATAGGGAGAGGGAGGGGGGAAGAGAATTTATGTGTGCGTGTGTGTGTTTGTATGTGTGTGTGAGTAGGTGCACCGCATTGTTGTCATCACCTATTTTTTTACATTCCTAGTATGTGTGTCAAATTGCCAAAATCTATACTTTTAAATGATTAATGTGCCCTGTTCTTTCAAATAAATGTATGGACGTTTATCAATGGCGCCTTTTATTAATTATAATTTTCTATTCACTTGGATTTGGGGCAAGTTTCCGTTCCCTTCCCCGTTGCAAAAGGTGTGGATTATAGTCTAACAGTGTAGCGCGTTTTAGTTCAGATTATGCATAAAAGGGGAAAGTAAGCTGATCATGGGGGGGGGGGGGGGGGGGGGGGGGGGAAGGGGGTGTTTCACATATCCTTAGTCGAACTTATCTCTAAATTTGACTTGAAATTATGGAAAGCCATTTGTAGCCTTAAAAGAAAATATGTTTAAAAGCGAGAAAATCAAGTATTTCGTATATTATATATTATTACAGCACATTCGTGTATCATCTACAGTGCGTCCCAGAAAAAACGAAACCGAGAACTATCGATGTTTTATCATAACTTAGTCATATTTATGATTACTAAATGACACATATTTGGAAAGCTTAGATCCTTCTCTTTCGTATGATGCAACTAACATGATGTATATTTCACGCATGAGTGATTAAAATGAATTTGAAGAGAGGAAACCAAAAAGTCATTTGGCGGACGGTATCTGAATTTCAAAGAGAAAATCACATTTCTAGACAGTTGAGGTTCTGCCCTTCCATATGACACCTCAATCAGGGAAAATGAGGCAGGAATAACAAAGTTTTGTTTGTTTAAAGTAGTGCTTGCATTTCCATTATTTTATCAAACGAATTCGTTTTCACTGGCTGCCTGCCATAACAACATGCAGAATTGATAACAGACTTAACTCCGTTTCGTTCAAGGGCGGATCCACGTAGCGATTTTTCCGGCCCGGCCCCCCCCCCCCCATCCCCCCAAAACGATAAAAAAAATAGGATAATAACGTAAAGTTAACCTTTATAAAACAAAAAAACAAAAGCCCCCCTCCCCCCGCTTATTCGCCGGCCGGCTGAGACGGCACTAAATTTTGTATTTTTTGGCTCCCCCCCCCCTTGACGCCGGCTGGATCCTCTGCAGGTGTGGATCCACGGGGGGGGGGGGGGAGCTGACGGTCAACAACAAAAAAAGAATTAAAAAAAAAAAAATCTCACGAATTAAGTCCAAAAAAAATAGCGGTCTTACCCCCCCCCCCCCCCCCCCCCCCCGCTTATTCACCGGCTGACTGAGTCGGCGCAAAATATTTCCTGAAAAATTGTACCAAAAAAGTGCCTCCTACCCCCCCCCCCCCCCCCCCCCGCTTATTCACCGACGGCTGAGTCGCAACTAATATTTTCTCACGGATTGGCCCCCTCTTCCCGCCTGCTGGATCCGCCACTGGTTTCGTTGACAATAAGCCATGCATGAAGTCTTTCGTCTACGTCTAATAATGGACAGAAGTGACATAAATTTCAAGCTCCGATCCGTCTGCTTTCAAATAGCAATCTCCCCCGAAAGAGGACAATACACATGAGAAATTATAACATGAATCTCTATATACCCCATATCATGGTGACAACAAATGTGTCAATTTCGAGACCTTTTATCTTTGAACAATAAGCCTTCTCATACAATAAACCTTTTTATGAAACCGTTAATTTCCTGCACTTAGGCCTATATCGAGCTGATTGACAAATGACAAATCGTTATTAGATTCATCAAACTACTTCGTCTCAAATACAATATCTAATTCGCAAATACAAGTCAATCTCTTGCAGAAGTTCCTACGTCACTTCGTGATATTACAGTCACGGTGTAGAAAATATCGAATTTGTCATAATTACTACACCATCACTCCATTTGTATTGGATTAAAGAGGAAGTTGAGTTTTGGGGGAAATGTGAGCTTTTTCATCTTTTATTTTATTATGTGGAAGAATAATACAGTAGAAATAAAAATCGTATACAATTTGATTTTTGAAATGCCTTTCTATTTCATGTATGACTAGAAAAACTTGCCACATGTATAGATTAAGTTCAAAATTCCCACATCTGTGTGCATTGATTTTCAACGTATGGGATTTCCAGCGAGATTGTGACATTTCTTTTAAATCTTTCTGATGATTCTGATTATTTCAATATAACTTTCTAGACAGGTTTTTTTTCGCAATGGTAAGTAATCAACTTTATCTTTAAAGGGGAATTCTATCCTAATAAATGGCTGGTATTGATAAAAGCAGAAAAACAAATTAGTGAAATTTTGAGCAATACCCGATTAAAAACAGGAAAATTATGATTATAAAAGTTGTCATTAGTGAAATATAAAATGGTTACACCGTTACGTATCTAGCGAGGTTCTCTCATATTTGCTCTGTATACAGACATTAATTTCATAAACTTTCATTTTCTTAGATAATGATGCGGAATAGATTTGTTTCATACAGGGGTTGTAAAAGGAAAACTTATTTGCAATAATTATATTTAGGGTAAATGTATGATTGAACATTTTCTTTAGGTAAAAAAGAAATTTCTGATTTTTAAAAAAATAGTTAAGTACAGAGTGAATGGGAGGGAACCTCACAAGATACGTCGCGGAGTTACCAATTTGTGTTTGATTGATCGCAACTTCAGGGTGAACTTCCCCTTTAAAAGAGGCCTTTACTCCATAGCTGTCAAGCGGCAACGGATATCAGACCCATATTGAATGGATAGTTAAGTGCTAAACTAACAGAATGGTAATGTAGTACGTCAAACCCTCAGCGTCATTTTCTAATAATGAAGATACGTGTATGCGTGCGTGCGTGCGTGCGTGCGTGTGTGTGTGTGTGTGTGAGTGCGTGCGTGTGTATGGATGTGTGTGCAAGAGAGAGACAAACCAGTATGGGCAGTGCAAATTTCAAAGGTTGGATTAAAAGTCTATCGACCAAGACGGCTATCTTGAATGTTCTAAATCGCTAAAACTCGAGAGCGTCCAAAAGCTCCGCCCCTGGAATGCACTTGCACCCCGAAAGATGCCACAAGCCCCCCCCCCCCCGACCACATCTGTAAAGATAGAAGTGGTTCCCAAAATAAATCTTTTTTTTTTATGATACAGTACTTAATAGAGATTGTGTATTTTTATCGCCCAAGACGGCTTTCTTGAAGGTTTGCGAGAGAGAGAGAGAGAGAGAGAGAAAGAGATTCTGCCCCAACCCCCCCCCCCCCACCCCTTCCGGCAAATGCTCCACTCCTGAACCTCATCCAGAAAGGGTGGGGTCGTGATAGACGGAAAAGTGCCGTGTCAAACTGAAATATTTTTAGACTTACAACGCTTGTGGAGGTTTGATTATCTCTCCCACCCCACCTCATCTCTTTCTTCTATGTTTGGAATTTAAAAAAATATATATATCCCCCCCCCCCCCTCCTATAGGCGCGAGAACTTGGATCCGTTCTAATTCACGGGGAATAGTTCGGGATCTTTGTCTTTTTGTCTTTTTTCGCATTTTTTTTTTATACCAATTTGAGAGGCTTTTCTATTCAATTCTCATGACCTGTCTGCAGATTATGGATCCTGAAGAGTCTACCCAATTCAACAACAGGACACCTGTCTTATCTTCAGAAGATAGTAACCTACCACTTTCGACATCGATTCCAGCCGTAGTTATCTACGGTATCCTCATTGCGACCACTGTTATCGGAAATCTTTTCGTCATCATTTCATACTTTCAAGACCGAAAGTTACGTCAACGACCGGCTAACCTGATCATTCTCAATCTTGCCTTTGCTGATTTGATCGTCGGACTCGTGCCGTTAACGGTCAATCTGACGATCATTGTAAGTGGGCGTTGGTTGTTCGGCGAGTACTTCTGTAGATTATACCGCGTTATCGACTACTTAGCCGTCTACGTATCGGTCGTAATGATCGTGTTCATCAGTATCGATAGATATTTGTTAGTTACGAAGCCAATCAAACACCGATTACTCGTGACACGAAAACGTGTTCGATATGCAATCATGTCAGCTTGGATAACCTACTTCACAGTTTTTGTCCTACTTTCTTTCGGATGGACGACTTTTGGCGGACAAAAGGAAACGATGGATTATTCGCACGAGTGTCTCATGGAGTACCTGGGGAATCCGTTCGTAACATTGACTGTTAGTCTAATTGGATTCTTCATACCATTTTCGAGTGTTGCTTTTTTAAATGTTCTTATTTTTGTTAACATTAAGAGGCAGTTTGATAAATTTCAAGTTATCACAATCAACCGAAACGTTGATGAAAAAACAGAATACCGGGTGAATCAAGAATGTCCTGCAAACATGTATGATGTAAAAGGAGACAAAGATGATAATAATCATCAAAGAAGGTCGTTTCGTCTGTCTTCTACTTCACAGCGAGACAATACATCTATGAACACCCAAACTGTTTCACAAGCAATCTACATGAACGCGACACCAAATACCAAATTTGATCAGTTTACCAGCGTGAGACTTCAAAAGAATATAATAATTGCCAAAAAGCTAGCACTCGTTGTCATGGTGTTTGGCGTGTGTTGTCTTCCATATGAAATCTGCACCATTGCGAATGCTATCTGCAAAGAAAAATGCACTAGTAACCTGGCTTGGGATATAACTGAGAATATTCAATGGGCTAACTCTGGGATAAATCCAATCCTTTATGCTTTCACGATTGTCCAATTTAAGAAAAATTTCGTGAGACTCTTTCGATGTCGATCAAATTAATTGAAAAATGTTCGGGGTGAAAAAGAAATTATCAACCATTTTAATTGAACAAGTTTCTGAATGCAAACAACATTCTTGGTGACATTAAGGTTTCTGACATGGCTATAGCACCAAACTTACATTACTAAATTTGATAGATCAATAAACGCAATTCACTGATGAGGGTAGAGTCACTGTCAGAATGTTGTTCTCCAGATTTTGCAAATTAAGGCCCTTGACACAAGTGACCATACTGTACCACTATAGCTTAAGAAGATTATCGTTGGACTGGGTTAAAATCATCTATAGATCAGGTATCTATTTCGGTAGTAAATCTAAAGAAGAAAAAAATTGACCCGCGGGGTAACCCATGAATCCGTATGGGACCAATCCATTTCCTGATATAAAACACTGTCGCTCATATAGTTGGAATATTTTTTTTTTACCCCAATTTATGGAATTATTTTGAGAATGATTTATTCTTAATAGATCTAGATTATAGTATACATTCTCCGATTTTATTGAACAATAATTTGCCAGTGTTTGTTTTGCGTGACTGCTTTTGCCGGTTTTTTTAAAAATTTTACTCAGTAACTTTTGTATTACCTTGTAATTTATTATTTTGTTTGCGCCTCGGGTACCATTCTATAGACAGATGTAATGCGCTACAAATCTACAATTATTATAATTGTCGTTATTATCTTAATCATTATACTGCAGTGTAAAAAGAATGCTAATGAAATTAGAAAAAAAGTTCATCGCGAAAAAGCTTTATAGAAATATTCAAAGCGGACCTTCTTGAAGAATGAAATTTAACTACTTCTTATTGGCACATTTAGTGTAAATAATGTACATTACGCATAGAATTACCATGAAATATTTCAACGATATTGTGTAAATATTTAAATTCTATATTAGTGTACATATATGTTTGAGTGATATTACCATATCGTGTATATATTTCTAAACAAATTGAAAATTATTTTAATGCTAGTGCAAACTGTTACTTCTTCATGATTCAACGTTTATTCTTAATTTGTTGTCATAACTGATAGTGTATCAAATGGGGCCAACTTAGATCAGCTATTGCTATTTGTTGGCTCCATTTACCAATTATAAAATTATTGTCAGCTGAAAAACAATGTACCCTGAATTTAGGTAATAAATTAATGAATAAATGAAAAACGGTTTGTATGAGATAATTGAAGAGATAACTTTAAAACAGCAATAATTGTTATTTTTCACTGCGAGAGCTTTCTATGAAAACAAAATTATATTAATGCGTTTGCCCCTCTCCTCCCTCCAATTAAACCTGTAGAAGAATCGACAACGTTGCACGTAGACTCTAGTTATCAACATTACAGTAGATTAACACAATATTTTTTTTATAAGGAAGGAAAACAAATTATTCATCAGCTTATTTTTTCCCTAAAATTGGTTGTTCAATTGTAAAGATATCTATAATATTGATGTGATATGCAAGTTTAATGTTTAAACTCTTCACATACATACTATAGATATATTAGTACGTGTGAACTTGAAGTAAATCGAGGTTAACCTAAATTAAACAAATTCTCTTGACGTTAGTCCTTCTAACCGAAAGTGAATATATGTTTTTGATCTATATATCAATGACACGCCATGTTCAACCCAAAATTTTCGTTACATTTTATTTGCAGACGATACCAGTGTATTTTGTAAAAATCCTACAGCTTTATTTCATTTCGTAAATACTCAATTAAGCAATTTAAGTAAGTGGATGAAATCCAATGAGTTAATATTAAATACTAATAAAACTAATTATATTATGTTTGGAACTAAAACCCAAATTCCAATGGATTGAAATATATTCTATTTAAATAAAAAGATAACTCGGTTGTCAAGTACAACATTTTTAGGAGCAATTGTAGATGAAAAACTATCTTGGAACCACCATTTAAATCATCTTTGGAACACTTTATCTAAAAATATTGGTGTCATATTCAGATTGAATTTCTTACCCTCAGACTGTTTTGAAAAAAAAAAAATATTATACCATGTCCTCATTTCTTCCCATTTAAATAATTGTAATATTGTTTGGGGTTTCACTTCTAAAAGAAATATTGAACGAATTAATACATTACAGAAACGTGGGATTCGCCTTGTTACATACTTTTTTTTATCTGTCTCACACTCTACCATTATTTTTAAAATACAAATCCTATCTATCCATGATTTATTAACCTTAGATACTACAATTTTTATGTTTCAACTTTTGAATAAACTTCTTTAAAAAATTTATGATGATTATTTTACTTTGTATTGTTCCATTTATAATGACAATACTAGAAATGCTCAAAATATCCATCTCCTTTTAAACCGCATATCAATAAATCAGAATTCAATTTTTTACAACGGACAAATTATTTGGAATTACCTTATCTCAAGAATAGTAAGACCGTAAAACAGGTCAAACGATGAGTTAAACAACACCTCCTGAACTCATAAATGATGAATATTTTGTTGATGTTTCCTATCTTTTCTTCCTAATTGATATTTTAATATTTTAATTTTGATGTTTTTGTTATTTTGATATTTTCCTACAATATTTACTGTGTTATGTGTATACTTGTTTAGGGGTCATTTTCAATTATTAGTGCTTTTGATGATCCCGCCACTATTATTCATATGTTAATGTTATTGATTTGTTAATTGTTTTAAAGTGGAAATAAATTGAATTGAATTGAATTGAATCGTTGTAGGCCTATATTTATACCAAATGTGATTAAATTCCTGATCGAAATTTCGTCATTCATAGATCGGTTAACTCACTTCATAGGATAAATATGGAATTAGAGAGCAAAGCCTGAGTTAATTATTATTTGTCATTCCGAATTATTGTATTCGAGAATATTATCAAACTGACATCAGAATTTATACCGTCAATAATGATCGAGGAGTAAACCCATCCAATGTGTCTGTGTGAAAATATTTGATTTTGATTTTACTTGGTTATGATAGATTTGATCTTCAAAATGATCCCAATGCACAAGTATCGCATGAATTTAAATTGGATCTAAACCAAATGCTTCAAAGACAAAAGAAAGTCCTTGTATCATTCCAATTGAAAGCGTTCTTCAATGTTTTCATCGTGTTAATAAAAATAAAACATTGATAAGCAATGGAATTTGGAAAGGAAACCACCTGAAGGTAAATTCTTCTAGGTATATTTTGATACATTTTTTCATTCCTGTTCCCTTGTCTTTGCTTCTTCTTTTTTCTTTCTTTCCCGTTCTTTTCAATTTCCCTTTTTTTCCCTCTATTTTCTTTTCAAATAATCGTTTTATTTTAAATTAAAATATGCTACTACTTTTAGCCTCATTAGATAAAATTTGCTTTGAGGATAAAAACTTTACCCAGTAAGGTCACTAAGTGCACTGATTTTGTTATGATCCTAGATCATTTCGTTCCTTACAGACAATCAAACAAACTCTCAAATCATTCTATCAGCTGATCCATTTATATACAGGAGATTTGGGTTTTTCAGTTGTGTAGGGCTTTCCCCATGCTGATCGACGATCTCATAATAAAATTTGCTTTCTATTCTTCGGTTTTCCAAATTGTATAAAATATCGACCGTAATAGAATATGAAAAGTTTTATCTAGATTTTATGAAATTTGAAAAAATCGTATGTTCTACAATTGAAATGATAGACTGAGAAATAGGGAAAGAGAGAAAGCGAGAGAGAAAGAAGGAAAGTCTTTTAGTGAGGTTAAAGTTTTAAAGTAAACATATATTTTCCTTTTTCATAAAGATCTATATAGGTTAATCTAGGTAAAAGTTGCTTGGTCTATTAAGTGTAGCAAATTTTTTATGTCGGAAAGCTTTTTCACACTCTAGTCCAGTAGACGGTACCATATACAATGTACATGACCTGGAAAAGGTGTTAAGTACAAGGTATTTTTGTTGATTCGTGTGCTAGGCGGGTATTGAAGAAAATTCGGCTTGGTGGCAACCTTGGTCAATTTTTATAATAGCCTGATTAGCATAATCATATATTTAGCATATTCGCAATATGTAATAATGTTGCTAATTTTAATCCAGGAAACCTGAAAACATGGATAATACAACTTTTCTAGGGCTTTCTATGACGAAGAATTCATTTATGACACCAGCTTTTATTTTTAAGTAATGCAATTGTCTTACAAAGCATAATTATCATAATGAGCTCACTAGCACATGGACAATATATGGACTTCATTGTCATTGTTTATGTAGAAAGCCTGAAAATGGTGCAATGCAACATTGTAAATCACTTTTGAAAGACTACACATTAATTCATGAGAACATATATTATGTAGATGTAATATAATAAGCCTAATTATCATAATACCCTATTTAGCATGTATGTGCAATATGTAGTAATGTTGCTAATCTTAATCCAGGAAGCCTGAAAACATGGATAATACGAATTTTCCAGGGTTTCCATGGCAAGGAATTCATTTATGACACCGGTTTTCACTTTTAAGTAATTCAATTGCCTTAAATAGCATAATCTGGATAGTGAGCTGATTACCATATGTTCAATATATGGACTTCATTGTCATTGTTTATGTAGAAAGCCTGAAAATGGATGTCAGCTTGTTCAAAGCCGTCCAGGCTTTCGCCTTTCGGATATTCAGATCTTGTTATGACTGATCAACCCACGAGCCAAGGTACTGAAAGTCTTGGACCTGCTTCAACTTTGTCCTGTCAGCAGTATAAATCTCGGCTTCGCGAAGGTTGTACATCATGAATTCTGTCTTAGTACTATTTATTTTTAGACCGACTTGGCTTGCTGCAGGAGTCTACTTGTTCTAGGAGCTTCTGTGCCTTTTACAGATTGTCTGAAATTAGTGCAATATCGTCAGCAAAGTCGGTATTTGTGATCATTACAGAAGGATATCTGCTACTTTTCCTTTCCTCTAGAGTGAAGCCTAGATCCTCGAACCCTTCAGTAGCCATTCTTAGAGCATAATCCAATGCTATGATGAATAGGTAT